GTTTTGTTTTATTAGATAATCTTAAGCATGCAATTGTACAGTTTTCTCATCAGAATCATCAGAGGGTTTGATATCATGCAGGTGTATGATTATATTTTGTGACCAGTGATTCTTGGCCATAAGCACATTGGGTAAAAAATAGAGAAGCACTAACCCTCTACTTTTCATCGTTACTGGATTTACCTTCCCCTCTAAGCATAACTTGGGAAGGATTTGAACAATACCAATTTGGCAAAATAAAATCATTTGGGCATTGATGCTCTGGAGAGAGATAACTGTATTCACATCTAAATAACCACATTTTTTATCTGCTCTTATATGTAAAAGTAAGCTCTTAATTTAAAGCATTTAAAAAGTCACACAAAACAAAGATTTGTCAGCTTTATTTATTAATTCATTTATTTTTCATTCATTAAAAAGAACAGAAACAAAAACAAAAACTCATATCCTCACTATTGTCTGACACTGTCCTAGGTGCTGGTACCATGTGAAATTCTGTCAGTAGTATTGTGTTCTTAGTATTTTTGGATTTTTCCTCATAATACAGGCTGTGGTGTTTTTAAGAGGCCACTTTAGAAAATTCCAATATAATGGATACAAGATTTAAAAACTTTACATACTGAGAAAATGAGATATGACCTCTGATACTTTATGGCAAACCATAAACGTCCTTATTTAATCTCATAACCTTATTTTAAAAATTAATTAATATAAATTTGAAATTCCTGAAGAGTTGTTTGGCCATGCATATCATTCTTAAGAAATCATATCTGCAACATAAAATATGTTGAAATTTCATATTAATAAAGTAGCTATGCCTTTATCAATCATTTGGAGAAAAGTGTAATTTCAAATAAAATCAAAATGACTCAAATGTTAAGTCAAAATGAGTCTTCAAACAGACTGATGTTGAAATTACTTTATTCAGTTTTTTTTGGTAGGGTCTGGAGAAAAGTTGTATTCAATATAAAAATAAGCTATGATATCTTCAAAAGAGAAGTTAGACATATAAAATTAAAAAACCACTGTTCCATGAGAGCAGAAATCAAATTTCTTATGCCTGATGTGCTGATTTGGTAATGGGGTGACACTATCTAGAAATTCTCAAAGACAAAAATGATTTTCATACACATTTTGTGTGCTAATATCAGATACAGTATATGGAGTGTCATTTAAAAGATAGGAAGCGAAAAATCAAAGAATAACCACTAAGAAACATAGTCCAACATGCTCAAATGTGAAGTATAAGGAAAGAGCCTGATAGAGGCGCATAGAATATATTTATGGGAAATAGGAGTATTGCTGTATGATTTTATCTATTAATTAAACATTTAGCATATGAGCTAATGTTTACATATGATCAAGTATAGACAGTGGCAGTGGTTATAGGTTCATCAAAAGCAAGTTTCATTTAGAAATAACTTGTTTGTAGGCTTTGATTTTTTAGCATATCAAGAAAGGCAATGTTTTCATCATAATATTCTCACACACGTGCAAGCAACAGATATAACAAAAGTAATGTAAAAAAGCAATATTGTCAATATCGGAGATTATATTTAAAATTAAAATAAATTCTGTCTCACATGAAGGATGTTGAACTAAAATGTCTGTAGAGCAATAATTGTAGCATAATAAGAAGAGGAGAAATTTATTTAATAAAGCAAGAAATTCCAGATGATTTTATTCAACTGAAATGGATGTAGAATTTAAATTGTTCTCTCCTTCTCAAGTAGCCTAGGATGAGATGATCACTATTTCATAAAGAACTCAGAAAGTGGAGTTGGGAAAATACAAAGACGAATCCTGGAGTGTTTCTAGATGTTTCTCAGTAAAATCCAAAGGGCCAGTAACTTCCAGAGAAAGAAGGGTGACAACAGCCATATCCATACCTACCATAACCACAGCCATGGCCACAGCCATAGCCACAGCCCAGACCACCACAGTAGTTGCTGTAGTAGCACATGGTGTTAGGAGTTGAAGGTTCAGATGAGAATGTCCTCAGCCTGAATGTCAGTATCCACCAGGAGTGTTTTATATACCTTCAGATGTGGGTGGGGCAAACCATAGGAAGTCCTAAACTCACAATATACACTAATTTACATTTGAAAACTTTCTTAAGCTCTTGTATTTTATTTTTTAGGCAAAGAGACTCTTCCACTAGAAATCTTTTTGCTTTTAGGTCAGGTTTCTCTATGTCAAAACATATGACTCTAATAATAAATAATTGCTATATTTGTTTCTATGTATCTTTTGCTCTTTCCTTTTATTTCTTCTTTGAACCAGTCATTCTTTAGTAGCATATTGTTTAATTAATCAATGTCACCTCAATAAATTTAATAAAAAACAAAACTGGAGGCAGAGCCAGGAAATTACAGGTGAAGAAGTTTAGTAGTCTGAGCTGCTCTGGATGACTCTACCATAGTAAGATGGGCAACTGTGCCCATACTCACCACACTCACAGCCAAAGTGACAGCCCAGGCTGCCATAATGATTGTTGTAATAAAAGTGCATGGTATTAGGAGTAGAAGTTTCAGTGTGGAATCATTTTCCTCAATTTGAATGTCACCATCTGTACATGGAATTTTATACATCTTCTGTAGCATATGAGGTAGTGTGGCCTCTCATTTCAGATAAAGCTGAATAATAAAATTTTATAAAACCCTTGTTTCAATAAGTAAGGACAGATCCTTATAGCAAATATTATTAACTATGTTTCCTAGAGTCCAGTAATCATGCCACGTGTTTTAAATTAGAGATTCTTCTTATATTTTGGAGAGCTTGTCAGTCTGTTTTGTTATTTAAGTCCATATTCAGGTTTTTTAAAATGTTGTCAACATTCAAGCCTTTGGATCCAATTTCTTTCTTATTTTTTTCTAACAATATTAATTTCCATTGAATATTCACATATGCAATCAGGAAACAGTATGTCTATTTGAGTAAGGAAGTTAAAAAAGTAAAGGATTATTGAGGTAAAATATCTTTTAGATTACATAATTCCTTTTAGCAAATGACTCTTTATACCAAATAAGATTTTCTATTGATTAGAAAATGAAATAACTACATTTAGATTAAAATACTAATATGAAGCGATATATTTTTTATCTTGAGGTTTATTTATTTGTCAAGCAAAACTTTGCTTTTTTTTTTTCTGTGTGAGTTTACCATTATGTTACACAATTAAGGATTTATCTAGAAATCCAAGTATTGGTATTGGATCTCCTCCCACATCTCACCTCTTGGATTTCCATATAATCAGCTTGCTTCTCAATTGGTTCTAGCATTTCTCCAGAAAGGTTTTCTTGAAATAGTGGAGGAAGAAATATGTGACATGGACTTCTCATATCTGCTTCTACATTCAATCTGTTGTGGCAACTCATATCATAATAGCATATATCTGGAAAACTTCATGTATGTTCATGAGCTGATAAGAGTGCCAAAGACATTCAAATATAGTATAAAAATAATTTTGGCCTTTTGGATCCCTTGAAAGGGTCTTCGGTTCCCACAGGTGTCAACAGACCACACTGTGATAAGCCCTGCTCTAAAGCAGTGATCTTTTAGACTTTTAGGTCAGAAAACCATACCGGAAAACATTTGAACCTATACCCCGAATGTTAATTTAGCAATTTATTTACAATATCCTGTGTGCATTAATTACCTATAATCATTAAATATAAAATATAAAATTAATAAAAGTAAGAACTCACATTGTGATAGATTATGCTTTAATACATTATAAAATTTTAAAGATTTTATAATATATAGATTTGAAATTTTGGTTTGAAATTCGGTTAATTTTAATTATTGAAAAAAAGATATTACTTCCTACATTAAACAAATCATGATAATACATTTTAATCTCATTATATAATTTGTGTTTGAAATTTAGCTAATATACAACTTTCTTAATTTTGATAGTCTGTCTTTATAAATTAATTGAGAGGGTTTTTTTATGCAAATGAGGCCAAAAACTCACATTCTTCATTTGAAAACAATTTCAAAACATTAGATTATATTGTAAAGTTTTAATATAACACAGATATCAGAGGTTTACAGATAGTATACCAATATAAAATTTAGTAATGTCACAATGAAAACAATCTCAAATATCCATTTATAAATGCTGTCTCTCAACAACAACATGCCTGGGGTACTTTAGGAGCTAAGTGTTGACTAAATGAATAAATGAATGAGTAAATAAATGAATAATGCTATGAAATGAACTTCAAAGTAAAAATAGTCTATTTATAAAAACATTTACTAAAAACATGGCAAGAATCTCAGGATTGGCACAACAGTCCCATTTTAGCCTGGACACAAGTTTGATACTAGTGACATCAGGCAACTGAGAGGTTTTCTTGCAATGAAGCTACCAGAGAGCAATCAGGAAGCAGACCCTTGGGAAACTCATAGAAGCATGACTTAAAATGTGGGTGTTTTCCTCTGCATTCTGGGGAAACAAGATCAGTCAGCCCCGTGAAGCTACCAGACTCTGGGTGCATTATGAAGTATTTTGTTCATGAATTGAAGAGAAGAGGCCAAATTTTTGTGAGGAGAAATCAATTAACTGTATCATATGAAAGCTTAGCTTTAAATAGTATGAGAGATATATAGAGGGATGATAAATTTAAAAAAGGATGAAGGAAAGTAGCATCACCCCTTGCGATAGTAACTATACACAGGCTTCCATCTTATAATTATCCGTAGGCAAAAATGACCGTGAACATAAATAAGCATCAAAGCATATCATATTTGCAATGAGATTAAATTTATTGAAAGAAGTAGGCAGAGATTAAAGAAAACTTTTGTTGCATTTTAAAAGACATTCTTTATGGTTTTGCATAATGGAACCAGAGAAAGGTGACCTCTACAGTTCTTTCATGATAGACAAGACATATCTTTGCTATTTTGGAGAGACAAGGTGAAATGAACAAGGCCAGCAGCAGAATCTGTGTTTCACGGGAGGACAAATATAGTGGGTTTAGTGACTCTGGAATTTTTCAGTAGAATCTGTATGACCAATACCTTCCATAGCAAGTTGGGTGGTAGCATCCATATCCGTAGCTACCATAGCCACCAAAGCCACAGCCATAGCCACAGCCATAGCCACGGCCAAGCCTACCACAGCTGAGCCCACCACAGCCATAGCCCCCATAGAAGTTGCTGTAGTAGATCATGGGGTCAGGGGTGGATGATGTCAGGAGTGGATAGTTTTCTGAGTTTGAATCTCACCATCTTCACAAGGACTTTTATATTTCCTCAGTAGTAGGTGTGGCAAGTCATGCTGCCCTCATTATAAATTATTTTATGCTAACCACAAACAATACGAACAGCAATATTCTCATGAATCTCTCATTTCATTCGGCATAGAGTGGCCTTCCCAGACAAGATGTTGCATCAAGATTTTCACTATCAAACCATGTGCTTTAAATAATAGTTTGATTTAGGTTTAAAGCCATTCCTCATCAAGGGCTCAAATTTAAATTCCATAATGAGATTTTGTGAAATCACAAAAACTATGCAAACTGCAACAGATTCAAATTGTTTTATGTTTATTCACATCCTCAAATTCATCTGGCTATTGCAGTTGAGGCAGTTATCCTGGGGAAATGGAAATATTAATGGGTGAGGTTTCTTTAAAATATGAGATCTGTCATATTGCCCCATATGTCTTCATAGATAAAACAATTTTATGTTAAATACATAATTCAGGTAACATTTTTACCAGATACAAGTTTACAAGTGTACAATATACTTTATTTTTCATATTTTACCAAATTCTATCTTGAGTCACCATGTGCACTAGATGTAAAAATATTTATGCTTGTTCCTTCCATGTAAACTCAAGAAAATTTAATGAAATTCTATTAATCAAGATTAAAATTCAATTGTATTAAAGGTTTCACCATTCTTCCTCCTCCTGAGGTGGACTTTTATGTGCAGTGCTGTGCTGTTGATTGGAGGATGCACCATCATCTGTCCTCTGCTGACATCTGTGGCTGGTATAATGCATACATATTGCCATTTTCCATTGCCATAACCCCAGAAACTCCTCTGGTCAATCCTAGCATTCAGTGCTACGCCCTTGTGGCTCTACAACCAGAAAAGTCTTTGATTGTTGTAGGAAAATCAGAGTCTACACTCAGGTCCATCTTGGATGGACACGTGTTGCATTTTCTACCTGCTTTTGCTGTGGTTATTGAACAACTCATGGGACATGCTCCTCTTCAGAAAAATCAGAGTGTGCCTTTCTCTACTTTGAGATGCACTTATGTAATGCAGGGTTTCTTTCCGTTTCAATGACGAAAGGTGCCTACATGAGGACTTACCCGTGTCTGAGTTCTCTTGTTCAGTTCATCAACTCTCCCCTAAAGCTTGTATCTGGGACTATAGTTATGGGGTAAAATAAATAATAAGAGTAAATAAAATAAGAGTAAAAAATAAATAATAAGAGTAAATATTGTTCTAAGTACTTGACACATATTAACTAATTTGACTCTCAAATCATCTTCTGGAATAGGTATTATTGTTACCATCCAATTTGCAGGTGACACAACTGAGGCACAGTTGAGTCATACAGTGGTCATACAGTCATAAGAGATAGAGGTAAGATTTGAACCCAGGTGGCTGATTCTAGAAGATTTACTCTCATCTACTATGGTCTATTGGCACCTATGAACATCTAAGAACATAAGTTTAGAGGGTTATTTGTCTTGACCATTGAAGATCTGAGCATCACTGCATACAAAAAAAATATATAGTGGTCTTTAGTGAAATGTTTCTCATAGCCTGAAATATTTTACTAAGAACTCCGTTTTTTTGTTTTATGGTTTGTGTTTTTTTTTTTGTAAAAATCTGCTAGTGCCATGAAAGCTACCTTTGCCACTACTAATATTTTTTATAAAGAAATGTTTATATGTGCGTTTGAGCCAGAACATAAATATTACAAATATGTTGAAATTTAAAGAAAATTCCTGCATAAAAATGCAATGTTCTCAGTAAAATTTCATCATTTCTAATTTTGATATAGATTCAGAATATAAATCTGAAACCTTTGGAAAAATATTTTGTGTTTTAAAAATAGAATCATAAAAGGAAATATTAATGTAAGTGAGAAAGAAATCTAGTTTTATTAGGACTGTTGTTTCACAGTTTCAAACTATTGGCTTTTTGTCAATAGTTTCACGAAGCTTTTGGCTTTTAATAGTAAACCATCTCTCTTGTGAAAATAAGGAGAACTAAAGAAAAAGAAAATGGTTTTGGTGCAGCAGGGAAGAGATGGAGAAACTCAAGGTAAAGGTAGATTATTGTCACTTTTTGAATATCAGCTAAAAGAAGGTAAAGTTATCGGTTGTCTGGCTTATGTTAGAGTGTCTACTAAAAATGCTATTTCTTGCCATGAAAACTGGTTACAAATGGGTAATTTGAAGAGCTTGTGTGAGTAGTTTTTTGAAAATGAGACAATTGATTCTTATTAATGACTCACAGATGATTCAGACGTGTTTAAACAATGGCAGATGTCCTCCACGGCCCCTAAGGCCATGCCTTAAAACTGGGAGCCCACAAATTGCTCAGATTGGTCCTGCAAATTAGCCAATAGCATGACTTGTGTAGTGGGTCCGAGGACATATAAAAAGCCCTCTGCAGGGACATCGCACAGACTGAAGTCACCTACACTCCTTCTCCACCCAAGGACAACCTTGACAACCGACACCATGTGTGGCTACTACGGAAACTACTATGGAGGCCGCGGCTATGGATGCTGTGGCTATGGAGGCCTGGGCTGTGGCTATGGCTCCTGCTATGGCTGTGGCTTCCGCAGACTGGGCTGTGGCTATGGATGTGGCTATGGCTGTGGCTATGGATATGGCTCCCGCTCTCTGTGTGGCTGTGGCTATGGATGTGGCTGTGGCTGTGGCTCTGGCTTGGGCTACTACTATTGAGGACATCATGGGTGACTCAACCTCTACAGATGGATTTCGGGATTTACCAACCTGAACACCACAAGTTCTGAGCCTCATGGTGGATGACGATTATCTTACACCAGTGTTTGACATAATTTGGCTGAAAACTTGTTCTCCAGCGCCCTCTGGATCTGATACATCAACTTTTCCCTTTCCTGAATTTAACTCATGAAAAGCGGGAGAATGTGAAATTCATCCTGCAAACTTCTGTGTGGCCTCTCATGGGAATGATGCTTCACTGATACTGTCTTTTGATTGTCCTGCAGGATCTTTTTCTCTGTTTTTCAAATAAACTTATTCATTCTGGCACAAAAATCATGATTTTCTTTTCATTTAATATCCAGTACTTAGTTTTTAGTTTTTTAAAATTGTATTAAACAATTGCTTTATTTATGGACTATCTTTTTAAAAATATATTTTTAATTGAGTTGTGACTATAAGAAAGTGACACTCTTTGTAGCCATCAGTTCTGGTCTATTCGTCAAGCAGG